ATTTGACCGCGTTGCAAGTATGATCCGCGAGCGGGGTGATTCCTTAAATTTATATTTTACCGCGTCACACTTATGATTCGCGAACGGGGTATTTCCTTCTACTACTCTTCTGGGATCGGGCCGTTTTCCTCGACAGGATTTATGTACCACACTCTCATGGGAGCGGGCCGTTCGCCGGTAGGTTAATAGATGCATGTGTGGTTCGCGCCATTTAACCCTCGGCAAAGCACATTTTACTTTTATGTTGGATTGGGTCGTACGCCTCGGCATTTCCTATATATATATATATATATTTATATATCATTCTTATGGGATTCGTGCTTAACATTTGGCTAGCAGCCAGTGTATTTGAGGATCTTTCCCTGATTTGAAATTGTAACAACCATTTTATGAAAGCCACTATACCTTTATGTATATGTTCCGGTTCCGGAGGGAACATGCCAGTTGAGAGCTAGAGTACAGTCGTAAAGAAGGGAATTGTTTCACGTATTTTATACGTGTTTGTTTAATATGTTTACTCTGCTTTATACTTATTCACTTCTTTACTGTATTTGATGTCATTGGACCAATAGTAAGTGTCGAAGTCGACCTCTCGTCACTACCTCTTTGAGGTTAGGCGGGATACTTACTGGGTAACGTTGTTTTTGTACTCATGCTACACTTGCTGTGCATTTTTGTTGCACAGACACATATTTGTCTTGTGGCTTAGTTCGGCGCAGCGACATGGTTGATACGGAGACTGGGGTGAGCTACATTTCTCGAGACGGTCCGCAGCCAGTAGAGTCTCCTTCAGAGTAGTGTATTGTATTTCTTTTACAGTCCAATTTGTATTTCGGACGGTTAGTGTATTGCATTGTTCCCAAGAAATTGCTCATTCACTTGTGACACCGGGTTCTGGTAAGGGATTATTCAGTATTTATGTTTGTTAAAGACATCATTATTTATTCAGTGGAATTCTTTATTAATTGTTTAATATTTAAAAAGGAATGATTTCAAAATAGTAAAACGAGAAATTTCTAGTTATTTGGTGTTAGCTTGCCTGATAGTGGTGTCTGGTGCCATCACGATCCTTAGTGGATTTTGGGTCGTGACAACATGGTATCAGAGCACTAGGTTCCCTTAGGTCTCACGAGTCATGAACGAGTGTAGTAGAGTCTTGCGGATCGGTACGGAGACGTCTGTACTTATCTTCGAGAGGCTACTGGGCTGTTAGGAGCACTTCCCTTCTTGATTCCTCATCGTGCGGTTTGATTCCTTTGAGGCTTATGACTTTACTTCTTTCCTACTCAATCTATGCGATGCGAAGCGCTTATTATAAATCAAGAATTGAGGAATTTTAATGGTACTGCAGATGTGGTGCGTGATGTTTCCTCCTACGAGTTTGACTGGGCAGCGAATGATAAAGAAGGGCATGTGGGAATTGTCTTGTGGTGACTAAACTCCTATAAGGCCAAGTGTGGGAAACAAGAGTCGAGTAGTTGCTTAAATGAGTGAGTTTGACCAAAGTGGGAGAGTTGCAAAATATTATATGTGTTCAGTGTCAGGGTAACTACACACCTTGAGGAAAGTCGGAGTGATTTGGGAGTTTTAATGGATGGTGATTAGGTCCACGGGCTTAATTTGAAATATTGGCTATTATACGGCGGGAGATTGGATTTAACAGAAAGTGGGGGTTGCTTGATACGAAGAATAATGCAATATAACTTTGAATTGGATGATATTGTCGCACATTTGGTTGATGTCTATAAGAAGTGACCGGACTAGTACAGTTGGTGAATGAGCACGGGCTCATGGTGGGTTATTTATGTCGTAGTGACTGTACCCCGTGCAGCAACGTTGGAAGATGTCGGCATGTAATTTCCACAGGTAGGTTATCTCCTGTGAGCAGATCAGTGGTCGCGTGGTTGGCGAAGCTTCTGTGAAGAATCCTACTGGCTATCCATCAAGAAGTCGAATATGTGAATGTCGCGAGAGATTCTGAGTGTTCATGAATTGCTAATGGAAGGATTTGGAGGAATTTGGCGGTTGGTTGCGTACAGTTATGTCAACGAGAGATAAAGAATCTTGGTGGGTTCCAGAGTTGTGTAATAGTAGCTCCAAGCTAAGTGGGAGAGTCCCACCGCCTACGATTGGGTTGCTAGTTAACTACTTGTGAGGTTTCTTGCTATTGGCATAAGGGCGAGTTATTTCAGCTAAGGGAAAAGAATATAAGTGGTAATTGAGCAAATGGTTCGAGAGATATGTGCCCTAAATAGCCTTATATATAATATGTGGCTTGGGGAAGGTTCAGGATTTACGCTTCGTGTAGATGCGGGTGCTTCATTGAGAGGGTGTTCATGTGCTAGAAGAGTCTTGGAGTTGATTATATTCAGGACCAAGTAAGAGTGGGTGACTCTTAATAACGGTCCTAGTGGATTCAAAGGCTAAGGCACGGTGCTTAAGGATTTCGAGGCCATAAGCATGCTTAAAAATTGAGCTTTGCAGCGGATAATGAAAAGTGGCTTGGAAGGTTCTATGATAGCATCAGCTTGTAGTATAGCTTTTGGAGGAATGAAAGGGAATGACTTCGGATTCGCAAAGGGATTTTCAGAATGGGTATATCAGATCAAGATGCGAATATGCGCACAAGGATGGCGTGAGACGGTTTGTGGGATTTGAGACAACATAGTCACGTGATACAAGGCCACTCGGGAGGAGTGCAGATTGAGTTTGTTATGTGTTGAATGGAGTTATTATTGTTTCTGAGGTGATTAAGGATAAGTTAGAAGAAGTTAGATTTGTTAGCCATAGTTGGATAGGCATATTGGTGGCAGTGGTCAGTTCCTCCAGCGTGATTGAGTTACGCCGGTGATTTGTGACGATACGTGCGAGGCTTGACGACCGCCGCAATTGATTTTATTCGGAAGTATTCTAGTGTTATGGCCCTATTACGTGTAGGCAGATCCCGAAAGGGCTATGGTGGCTTAAACCACTACTTAGAGATTTGCATATTCTAAGTTATGAGAATTCACTTGTGTGTGGCTATGGTTCTCCTGAAATGAGTTAAGTGAAAAGTTTCTATAGGATGAAGTATTAATCTATTAGTGGTTCCGGAGTTATGACAAAAATCTTGTGCTATCGTGTATTCGCATATTTGGTGCAGTGAGTGGTGTGGAATTTGAAAGTGAGGATCAAGGTTGCGGTTCGGTGTTGACAAGGATGTCACGAGCTCGGATGAGCAGGAAAGGGGTTTGAATGTTTAGAGTAAGCTGGCATTGTCATCGATGTCACTTGAGATCGGTGTTTTGTGAAAAGGGCTTTGCATCCTGGTTAAGGATTTTGATCGCTTTTCAGCATTAGGGCAATCTGTGGTATGGATGTGCATACCTGTTATCTGTTACAGAAGGTCGTGGGAGCGTGCCCCATGGGAAGGTTGTATATGTGTGACATTTTGTCACTTTATTGATTGAAGAATTAATACAAGTATGAAGATTGTGGTGATATCGTTAATTTGAAAATTTATTCCTATAGGGCACTCAATTTATTTGGTTGTGGACTGTGGAGGATTACTTCGGTTATGACGGTTGTTCTTGTGTGTTATGGGAAAAAGGGGGTTATTATAGAACCAGGAAAGATTTTTGTCCTAGTTTGGTACGATCAGAATTGGCTTTAGGCCTGTGAATAGATTTAAATATGAATGTGGGCTCTATATCAGGCCGGATGTGTTCGTTTCGGCATAGCGCTCCTTATGGAGGAGCACCCGAACGTTGGATGTTATTTCATCGTCGGCTATTTTATGTGATGCTATATTGCACCGTGTGAGTTGTAAGTCGGCTTGCTAAATTTCTTATGTGTTGAGGTTCCGTGTAGCGACGGTGTTATGTGAGCAGGATGGCTCTTGAGATTTAGATCATATATCGCACCTCAGTTGTGCTTGAGTTTTGTAGCCTGTGGCGCTATATGTCTCCCCTGGGATGGTATTGTGCACTAGCGTGCTTGTGGTCGATATCCTATATTTTGTAGTAATGAGCGATTTAGCTTGGTGTGTATCTTCTTATGTGAAATTTTATGTGTAGATCGGGTGGCACGCTGCCACGGGTATGGTTTTTGGATCGGGTTGCACGCCGAAACAGTGTGATTTTGAGTACAGTTCCCTATATCTGTTATGTGTGTTTTGTTTTCCATTTTCTAAGGAAAGTTCATATTAGTTGCGTGAGTTGAGTAGTCCCTTCCTGAGTTCATTTTCCTTATGTATCACGTTCGAGCTTGCAGCCTATTGGCACGTTGTGGCATCATATGGGACTTTTGATCGGGACTGGGGGTGGCTTATTGCCTGAGCAGTTCGTACTGGGTGAGACGAGATTATTGGATCTAGGATCAGCGCAATCGGATTATATGAAGTATATTAAATAGCAAAGATCATTATCTGGTTCAGAATGAAGTAACGGTTCGTGTCAGAAATATAGACTCAATGATTTGTTGACTCGGCAGTTGGTTATAAATTTCTACACATCTCTTCCGTCGTGGCGGTATCGCAAAAGTTAGGACAAGACTTAACTATATCATGAGGTGCATTGTGAGCATCAGATTCGGGGAATGTCGGCTGATATGATAAGAGAATGTTATTATGGTCCTGTGAATGACGTGGTGCATAGTGTGAATTCAGCAAAGGTATGCAATCTTGTATCGGTGCATCATGTGGTGATTTATAAAGTGTTTATATGTTGAAAGCAGGCCTGGAAGAGAATTTCAGATGTTGAAACTGGGCTCTAAGGCTTATTTGCCTAAATGAAAGAGGTTATCCCAGGTGAGACCCTTGCAACGCAACATAGGCTTTTGGTGATGGACATTGGTATTATGATAAGGAGGAAGAAGAGGTCAGTACGAGGCCGCCCGAGGATTAGGTGGGACGCTTTGACTAAGGATAAAGCTCAGGAGTTGGAAGTAAGGTTATCGGCAATGGGAGCTTGGAGAAGTAGTGGGGACGCAAAGACTATGTGGTCGATGACGGCGGACTGTATATGGAAGGCGGCGAGAGAGGTGTTAGAGATGTCTTCGGGCCGCACAAGAAGAGGTCAGTACGAGGCCGCCCGAGGATTAGGTGGGGCGCTTTGACTAAGGATAAAGCTCAGGAGTTGGAAGGAAGGTTATCGGCAATGGGAGCTTGGAGAAGTAGTGGGGACGCAAAGACTATGTGGTCGACGACGGCGGACTGTATAAGGAAGGCGGCGAGAGAGGTTTTAGGGATGTCTTCGGGCCGCACCGGTGGCCACAAAGGAGACTGGTGGTGGAATGCAGTTGTCCAAGGAAAAGTGGAAGTGAAGAAGGCGGCTTACCTGCGCTTAGTAGGGAGCACTGGCGAGGAGGAGAAGAGAGAGAACAGTGAGAGATATAAGGTAGCTAGGAAGGAGGCGAAGATGGCAGTAGCGGAGGCTAAGACGGCAGCTTTTGCTCGTCTGTATGAGGAACTAGGGAACAAAGGCGGGGAGAAGAAGTTATTTCGACTTGCTAAGGTGAGAGAGAGGATGGCCCGGGATCTGGACCAAGTGAGGTGCATAAAAGATGAGGACGGCAAAGTTTTGATGGGGGATGACCAGATTAAGAGGAGTTGGCAGACCTACTTTCATAAACTTCTAAATGAAGAAGGGAATCAGGATATTGTACTAGGTGAATTGAGGAATGCCGACAGCCCCCATGAATTAAGTTATTGTAGGGACATTGAGGTCGAGGAGGTCATGGAGGCAATGCGTAAGATGAGGAGGGGCAGAGCTACCGGGCCAGACAAAATTCCAGTTGAACTTTGGAGGTGTGTGGGTAGAGCGGGCTTGGAATGGCTTACTGGGTTGTTTAATGTTATATTCAAGACTAATAGGATGCCTGAAGAGTGGAGGTGGAGTACAACGGTTCCGTTGTATAAGAACAAAGGCGATATCCAGAGCTGTAACAACTATAGGGGTATCAAATTACTGAGTCATACCATGAAAGTCTGGGAGAGAGTGGTAGAAATAAGAGTGAGAAGGACAATGTCTATTTCAGATAACCAGTTCGGTTTCATGCCGAGGCAATCTACCACAGAAGCTATCCATCTTATTAGGAGGATGGTGGAACTATACAGGGATAAGAAGAAGGATCTCCACATGGTGTTTATCGATCTAGAGAAAGCCTATGACAGGGTTCCTAGGGAGGTCTTATGGAGTTGCTTAGAGGTTAAAGGGGTCCCGGTTGCCTACATTAGGGTAATTAAATACATGTATGATAGAGCTAAGACTCGGGTTAGGACAGTAGGAGGCGACTCCGAGCATTTCCCAGTTGTTAGGGGGTTGCACCAAGGGTCTGCGTTCAGCCCTTTCCTATTTGCCCTGGTGATGGATGCCATAACGAATCATATTCAAGGGGAGGTGCCATGGTGCATGCTATTTGCTGATGACATAGTCCTAATTGACGAGACACGACGCGACGTCAACGAGAGGCTAGAGGTTTGGATACATGCCCTTGAGTCTAAAGGTTTCAGGTTGAGCAGGACGAAGACATACCTCGAGTGCAAATTTGGGGCCGAGCCGACGGAAGCGGGAGTGGAAGTGAGGCTTGACTCTCAAGTCATCCCTAAGAGGGGTAGTTTCAAGTACCTTGGGTCAGTTATTCAGGGGATCGGGGAGATCGACGAGGATGTCACACACCGTATAGGGTGGGGTAGATGAAGTGGAGGTTAGCGACGGGAGTTCTGTGTGACAATAAAGTGCCACCGTTACTAAAAGGTAAGTTTTATAGAGCAGTGGTTCGGCCTACCATGTTGTATGGGACCGAGTGTTGGCCGGTTAAGAACTCACACATCCAGAAGATGAAAGTAGCAGAGATGAGGATGTTGAGGTGGATGTACGGGCATACAAGGATAGATAAGATTAGGAATGAAGATATTCGAGAGAAGGTGGGCGTGGCCCCCATAGAGGACAAGATGCGGGAAGCAAGACTCAGATGGTTCGGGCACATTCAGAGGAGGAGCACTGATGCACCGGTGAGTAGGTGTGAGCGACTGGCTATGGTGGGCACGAGGAGAGGTAAAGGGAGACCTAGGAAGTATTGGGGAGAGGTGATCAGGCAGGACATGGCGCGACTTAGGATTACTGAGGACATGGCCGTTAGGAACTGTGGAGGTCGAGCATTAAGGTTGTAGGTTAGGGGAAAGTTGTGGATAATTCTACAGCGCACTAGAGTGAGACTAGCATGTTAGGAGTTAGTCTTAGGATGCTACTGATCAACTACTGATGTAGGGCTTTATCTGTTGGATATTAGTATACCTTCCATCTTTTTCGTATTTCCTATATTTTTTATATTGCTGTTATTTTGTTATTTATGTTATGTTATGTATTTTATGTTATTTTATCATGAGCTATTGATAGTACTAATATATCGTCTCTCGTTGCTTTCTTGAGCCGAGGGTCTCCTGGAAACAGCCTCTCTGCCCCTCGGGGTAGGGGTAAGGTCTGCGTACATACTACCCTCCCCTGACCCCACTTGTAGGATTATATTGGGTTGTTGTTGTTGAAAGAGGTTATCTTTAGATTTGATCAAGCAAATGTGCCCAACTGATTTGTGGTAGCACGGGTAGATGCACGAGGTGTTAAGCAGTGATTCCAAACTACTTCAGTGCAATTCTCAACACGTTCGAGGACGAACGTATGTTTAAGTGGGAGAGAATGTAATGACCCGACCGGTCATTTTGAGCTCTAGCGCGTCGTTGAGATGTTTGAGGCCCTGAGTGGCTTCACTTCAGGTATTATGACTTGTACACATGGTCGGAGTTGAATTATGGGAAATTTAGAGTTGATTTGGAGAGAGAATTCTCATTTCGGAAGCTTTAAGTTGAAAGAATTGACTAAGATTGGATTTTTGAGTAAAAGACCTCGAAATCGGGATTCGAAGGTTCCAACAGGTTCGTATGATAATTTCGGACTAGGGCGCATGTCCGGATCGGGTTTTGGAAGACCCGGGAACATTTCGGCACCTATTGTGGAAGTTAGCCTTTTTGGAAGAATTTCATAAGTTTGGGTTGAAGTGCATTTCAGTGTTATCGATGTCCGTTTGGGATTCCAAGTTTGGGAATAGATCCGCCTGGTGATTCTGGTGTTGGGAGTGCGATCGGAAGTGAGTTCAGAGGTCCGTGGGTCATTTTCGAGTCATTTGGCTAATGTTGGAAATTTGAAGGTTTTTAAGAAGTTTGACCGGAAGTGGAGTTTTTGATAGCGGGGTCGGATTCTGATTCCGGAAGTTGGAGTAGGTCCGTAATGTCAAATATGATTTATGTGCCAAATTTGAGGTCAATCGGATGTGATTTGATAGGTTTAAATATCGAAAGTAGAAGTTTGAAACATTAAAGTTCATTAAGCTTGAATTGGAGTACGATTCATCGTTTTAGCGTTCTTTGACGTGATTTGAGGCTTCGAACAGGTCCGTATTATGTTATGGGACTGAGTTGTGTGATTGGACGGGGTCCCGGGGGCCTCCTGTGTGTTTCGAGTTGTATTGCGCTCTTATTTGATGTTTCAATGTCGTTTCTTTGGGAATAAAGGGTACCACATTGAGCAAATGAGCTCCAAATTTAGTTTTATAGAACCTTAGATCTGTACCGTAATTATGGAGCCATAGCAAAAAGAATCATCGAATTTGGACATCGTATGAGGAAGTTATGCTCATTTTTGTGTCGGGAAAAACTGCTGCTTCTGCTATGGTCGCAATTACGAACATATCCATTTTTTGTGTCGGGAAAAACTAACTGTCGCACAATGCGACCTTTTCCAGCCCTTCTTTGTTCGCACTTGCGAAGGCTTTCTTCGCTTTCGCGAGGGTTCGCAATTGCGAACTCTAGATCGCAAATGCGACATCTGCAGCTTGATTTCAGCTGTGTAACTCGGGTTTTTGCTTCATTTTATCATATTTTGAACCCTAAGTTCGAGAGTGGGCGATTTTGAGAGAGGATTTTCTTATCAAATCATTGGGTAAGCGCCTCTAACCAATTTTCAATTATGTTTTGTTATTATACCTTAGATTTAACATCAAAATTCATGAGAATCTAAAGGAAAATTTTGGGTTTTAAAGAAAAACCTAGAAATTGAGATTTTTGAATTTTGACCATGATTTTGTGCATGGAATTGACAATAAATTATATATTGAGTTCGTGAGGTCATGGGTAAACTTTATCTTCGACAAATCTCGGAATCCGGTCACGTGGGCCTGGGGGCAATTTTGTCAACTTTTCGATCGGGGTTAGGAATCGTTACAAATTGGACTATAATGAGTAATTGAACATATATTAATGGGTTTACATAATTATTGGCTAGTTTTGGAGCATTTTGCATAAGGGCGTGGAATGCCGGTTATGGAACTTCGGAGCGAGGTGAGTCTCCTTTCTAACCTTGTAAGAGGGAATTAACCCCATAGCTGAACCAAATTAATATGTGCCTCTATTTGTGGGGGCTACGTACGTACGAGGTGACGGGAGTCGGTACGTAGCTACTAGTTATGCCTATGTCCGGGTAGTTTTAGGTTTACACCATGCCTTGTTGATATTGTTGTTGATTTATGTTTATTGTCTGCCTTGAGAAGAAGCGAGATTGAGTTTGCTTAGTAAATCTCTTAAAATGATTTGAAATTGAGGAATTTGAGATCTTAAAAGTTTTTATTTGAACTTTATATTTTTGAAAAGAATTGAAGGAATATTATAATAGCTTAAGAAATCTATGTGTAACCGTGTCGCATGTATGTTTCGCGAGCTGGGGAATTTCGTTTAAAAGCTACAAGCTGAATTTCCCTTATTTTGAAAAGATTCAAGAAAGAGATATGATTTTAATGTTAAATTTATATTTGCCTCGGCAGGATTTACATACCACACTCTCATGGGAGCGGGCCGTTCGCCTCGGCGGGTTAATAGATGTATCTATGGTTCACGTCGTTCGACCCTCGGCAGTGCACATTTTACTTTTATGTTGGATCCGGTTGTACGCCTCGGCATTCCCTAAATATATATATAGATCGTTCTTAAGGGACTGGTGCTTAACATTTAGCTAGCAGCCAGTGTATCTGAATATCTTTCCCTGATTTGAAATTGTAACAACCATTTTATGAAAGCCACTATACCTTTATGTATATGTTCCGGTTACGGAGGGAACATGCTAGTTGAGAGCTTGAGCATAGTCGTAAAGAAGGGAATTGTTTCATGCAGTTTATACATGTTTGTTCAATATGTTTACTCAGCTTCATATTTATTCACTTCTTTGCTCTATTTGATGTCACTGAACCACTAGTAAGTGTCGAAGTCGACCTATCGTCACTACCTCTTCGAGGTTAGGCGGGATACTTACTGGGTACACGTTGTTTTTGTACTCATGCTACACTTGCTTTTCATTTTTGTTGCACAGGCACATGTGTGTCTTGGGGCATAGTTCTGCGCAACGGCATGGTTGATACGGAGACTGGGGTGAGCTGCATTTCTCGAGACGGTCCGCAGCCAGCGGAGTCTCCTTCAGAGTAGTTTATTGTATTTCCTTTACTGTCCAATTTGTATTCCGGATGGTTAGTGTATTACATTGTTCCCTAGAAATTTCTCATGCACTTCTGACACCGGGTTCTGGGATGACTAAGAGATTATTCAGTACTTAGGTTTGTTAAAGACATCATTATTTATTCAGTGAAATTCTTTATTGATTGTTTAATGTTTAAAAAGGAATGATTTCAAAATAGTAAAACGAGAAATTTCTAGTTATTTGTTGTTGGCTTGCCTGTCAGTGCTGTCCGGTGCCATCACGATCCTTAGTGGGTTTTGGGTCGTGACAACCAGCGGCCAGGTGGCCTACTCCAGCAGATGGTTATTCTTGAGTGGAAGTGGGAGCGCATCACTATGGACCTCGTTGTTGGGTTGCAGCAGACGTTGAGGAAGTTTGATGTCGTTTGTGTCATTGTCGATAGGGTGACCAAGTCGGCACACTTTATTTCGGTGGTGACTACTTACTCTTCAGAGAGGTTGGCCCAGATTTACATCCAGGAGATTGTTCGGTTGCATGGTGTGCCTGTTTCTATCATATCAGATAGAGGCCCTCAGTTCACTTCACATTTCTAGAGATATGTATAGAGCGAGTTGGGTACCCAAGTAGAGCTCAGCATATCCTTTCATCCACATACCGACGGGAAGTTGGAGCGAACAGTTTAGATTCTGGAGCATATGCTCAGAGCATATGTCATTGACTTCGGAGGGCAGTGGGATAGATTCTTTCCCTTGGCTGAGTTTGCTTACAACAACAGTTATTAGTCTAGCATCGAGATGGTTGCATTTGAGGCTTAATATGGTCAGCGATGTCGTTCGCCCATCAGATGGTTTGAGCCCGGCGAGGCTAAGTAATTTGATTTACTGAAGGATGCCTTGGAGAAGGTAAAGTTGATTCACGAGCGGCTTCGCACTACACAGTCCAGACAGAACAGCTACACGGATCAGAAGGCACGCGATTTATCATTCATGGTGGGTGAGAAGGTTCTCTTGAAAGTCTCGCTGATGAAGGGCATCATGAGGTTCGGGAAGAAGGGCAACCTGAGCCCAAGGTTTATTAGCCTATTTGAGGTGATGAGGTGAGTTGGGGAGGTCGCTTATGACCATCGCATTTGCGAACCAAATGTCGCAAATGCAAAATCTGCGACTAGTGCAAGGGCTTTTATTACGAGACTTAGCTTCTTTTCCCTCATTTTTCACTTGGTCTTGGGCGATTTTGAGAGCATTTTGTGGGGTAATTTCATCAACATCAAGAGGTAAGTGATTCCTGCCAATTCTTTAGCTAAATACACGGATTATGGGTAGATTTAACATAAGATTAATGGAAAATTTTGAGACTTTTGTTAGAACCTAGGGTTTGTTAAAAATAAGAATTGACCACAAAATCTATTATGCAATTGGGAATAAATTATATGTTTGAGTTCGTGAGGTGATGGGTAACATCTATATATTCGAAAATATCCGGAAATAGGGCACGTGGGCCCGAGGGCGAATTTAGGAATTTTTCAAATTGGATTGCGTAATTACTTTAATATCTAAATTATTAACTTTTGAGCATATATTTATTAGTATATGACTTTTGGTTAGTTTCGGAGTCCTCAACGTCGTTTGAAGAGTTCTAGTGAGGTTGAAGGGCTAGATTGAGAACTTGGAATCGAGGTAAGTCTCTTGCCTAACCTTGTAAGAGGGAACTTATCCCTTTAGGAGTATTATTGTTGTTTGCTACTTGTTGTGGTGAGCTATGTGCGCACGAGGTGACGAGAACCTGTACGTAGCTATATTTCATGATATGTCCTGGTAGACATAGATTCACATCATGCCATTATTTGCACTGTTTATTACTATCATGTGTATTATTTATCTTGATTAGGACTGAGATTGAGGATCAAAATGTGAGATATCGCCTTAGTCTCTTACTTTAGAAAAGTTGGGAAATACTTGAAAAACTATGAATCTGTGTTTTCTCGTCTCGCAAGTGCTTCTATGAGCCAGGTAAATTCTCTACTCTTATGGGATCAGGCCTTTTCGCTTCGGCAGTGTCAAGACCCGGATTCCCCACCCTCAGGAGTCGTGATGGCGCCTACTGGTGATAGCTAGGCAAGCCGATTGTTCCAATTATTTAGCCCTCTTTCCTTTTAAATCCCTTAACAGTTGTAAATTAACATTTTATAACAGCGGAAATTAAATAAGAGGAAGAATGAAATTCAACAATTAAGCCAATACCAATAGGAATCTATAATATAAACCACCCAGGACTGGTGTCACAATCTCACGGACTATCTAAGAAAACTACAAATAAAGTCTGAACAAGAAATTACATGTCTGTCTTTGGAATATAAAAGAACAGAAAGAAACTAGATAGGGAGGGGAAGCCAAGGCCTGCGGATGCCTGCAGGACTACCTCGGGTCTCTTGATGGGCTGAAGGCAGCAACCTTTCTGTATGGTCCAAATGCTCCAGCACCGGGATCTGCACACAGTGCAGAGTGTAGTATCATCACAACCGACCCCATGTGCTGGTAAGTGTCGAGCCTAACATCGGTGAAGTAGTGATGAGGCTAGGACAAGAGTACCAAATAGATCTGTGCAGTTAAAGCATATACGACAAGAAATAATAACGGAAACTAGCAGCTAAAGATGGGAAGGGGAAACATGCTGCGGGGGAAATATCAAATACCAACAGTAACTCCAGAGAAAACTATAAAGAACATTTTAAGGTTTGCATCAGTAAGAATAAGGAAACAGTAACATATCAAAATCCACTTTTTTTTAACATTTATTGTTGCGGCGCGAAACCCGATCCAAATCATATAACACTGTTGCGACGTGCAACCCGATCCAGTCATATAACACTATTGCGGCGTGCAATCCGATCCAATCGTATAACACTATTGAGGCGTGCAACCCGATCCAATCATACAACACTATTGCGGCATGCAACCCGATCCAATCATATGTCATTGTTGCGGCGTGCAACCCGACCCCTCTTATCCTCCCTTATTACTCCATGTTGCGACGTGCAACCCGATGCCAATATACAATTCAACACCAATCACAAATGAATCCCGGCAAGAGAATAATAAGGAAACAACAATATCCCGACAAGGGAATCAACTATGAGAATAAGCACATCCCGGCAAGGGAACCAACAGTAAGAGCTAACTACGTCCCGGCAAGGAAATCAGCTATAACCAAGCTTATGCCATCATTTAACTTCACAAATGAAACCTCAACTGGAACCAATACTCAACAATAATCATATACAGCGAGGAGAATCATAATTCTTGCCCAACACGGAGAATCAACAACATAAGCATTTTTAGTATTTATCAAGAACACAACGATCACAATTTAAGACTCACGGGCATGCTTGACAACGGCGTATAGATACTCGTCACCACACCTATACGTCGTACACTACACTAGGACATAGCAATTAAAGCACAATACCTATTTCCTCAAGCTAAAGTTAGACCAAACACTTACCTCAATGCCGCGAACACAATTCAAGCCTCAACGATCGCTTTACCTCTTGTTTCCACCACCAATTTGCTTGTATCTAGTCACAATATAATTAATACTACTAATAAATGCTAATTGAATCAATTCTAATTCATGAAAAACGGGTTTTCAAATGATTTCCCCAAAAATCAGAAATTGACCCCGAGCCTGCTTGGTCCAAACCCGAAATTCGGACCAAAACCCGATTACCCATTCACCCCCGAGCCCGGATATACAATTGGTTATGGAATCTGACCTCAATTTGAGGTCTAAATCACCAAATTTCAATATTCCTAGGTTCTACCCAAAATTTCCATTTCCACCATGAAAACCCTAGATTCTAGGATGAGATCTTGTAAAAAGAAGTTAAGGAGTGAAAGAAATGAGTTTAAAATCACTTACTTGTGTTTTGAGAAGAAAGAGTGTTTGAAAAATCGCCTCTTATATTTTAGGTTTTTGAAAAATAAAAATGGCTGAAAGGGCTCGTTTATATATACCCCTCTTAGATCCTTACCGCTGACCGCAGAAAAAGGATCGCGGCCGCGGAGCTGCACCACGGACCGCGAAATGTTGAGCGCGGCCGCGAAGACTGGCCTTGCTCACCACTGAGTGCATAAATCCCACCGCGGTCACGAAGACTAGCCTTGCTCACCGCTGACCGCATAAATACCATCGCGGTCGCGAAGAGCCCACCGCGATCGCAAAGACCCCACCGCGGACCACGAAGCTTGGCTTCAGAGACCTGCAACTTTCTCTGAACCTGCATCTCTTATGTTCTAAGTCTAAATTCACTCTGTGGCCTATCCAAAATTCACTCGAGCCCTCGGGGCTCCAAACCAAACATGCACGCAAGTCCAAAAACATCATACGGACTTGCTCGTGCGATCAAATCATCAAAATAACATCAACAACTATGATTAAACCTCAAATTCATGAAATCACTCAAGATCATCAAAATTACTATTTTCTCAACTATAGGTCCGTTTTATATCAACCCAATTCCGATCTTTACCAAATTTTATAGATTCAACTTATTCATTATTCAAACTTGTACCGGGCTCCGGAACCAAGATACGGGCCCGATACCATCAAGAAAATGCATCAATTCACTTCTAAAAACCTTTACATTTTCCAGAAAACAATTTTCTTTAAAAATTCATTTCTCGAGCTTGGGACATCGAAATTCGATTCCGGGCACACGCCTAAGTGCAATATTTTACTACGGACCCTACGAGACCGTCAGATCACGGGTCCGGGTCCGTTTACCAAGAATGTTGACCAAAGTCAACTTTATTTAGTTCTTAAAAGCCAATTTCCATTTTTTACTTAGTTTCCACATAAAAACTTTCCGAAAACGTGCCGGACTGTGCACGCAAATCGAGGTAGGACAAAAAGTGATTTTTAAGGCCTCAGAACACACAATTTACTTTCAAAACGAGTGATGACTTTTTGGGTCATCACATAATCCACCTCTAAAACAACCGTTCGTCCTCGAACAGACATAAGAAAGAAGTACCTAAGTCGGAGAAAAGATGGGGATATCGGCTCCGCATATCAGACTCGGACTCCCAGGTTGCAGGCTGACCTCTCCGCTGAACACGAACAGAAGGGAAACTCTTCGATGTCAACTGACGAACCTGCTGGTCTAGAATAGCTACCGGTTCCTCCTGATAGGATAAGTCCTTGTCCAACTAGACAGTGCTGAAGTCTAACACGTGGGATGGATCGCCGTGATACTTCTGAAGCGTGGACACATGAAACACTGGATGCACGGCTGATAAACTCGGCGGAAATGCAAGTATGTAAGCCACCTCTCCCACTCGATCAAGAATCTCAAACGGGTCAATGAATCTAGGGCTAAGCTTGCCCCTCTTCCCAAATCTCATCACGCCTTCATAGGCGACACCCGAAGCAACACCCGCTCGCCGACCATGAATGCAACATCACGAACCTTACGGTCAGCATAACTCTTTTGCCTGGACTGAGCTGTATGAAGCCTATCCTGAATAATCTTGACCCTGTCCAAGGCATCCTGTACTAGATCCGTACCCAATAACCGAGCCTCTCCCGACTCAAACCATCCAACCGGCGACCGACACCGCCTACCATATAAAGCCTCAAAAGAAGCCATCTGGATGCTCGACTGGTAGTTGGTGTTGTAGGCAAACTCCACTAAAGGCAAGAACTGATCCCATGAGCCTCCAAAGTCAATGACACAAGCTCGGAGCATATCCTCCAAAATCTGAATAGTACGCTCGGACTGTCCGTCCGTTTGAGGATGAAATGCTGTGCTCAACTCGACCCGTGTGCCCAACTCTCGCTGAACTGCCTTCCAGAAATGTGAGGTAAACTGCGTACCTCAATCATAAAGGATAGACACGGGCACACCATGAAGACGAACAATCTCCCGGATATAGATCTCAGCTAACCTCTCAGAAGAATAATAAATTGCCACATGAATGAAATGCGCCGACTTGGTCAGCCTATCAACAATAACCAATACTGCGTCGAACTTCCTCTGAGTCCCTGGGAGTCCTACAACATAGTCCATAGTGATACGCTCCCACTTCCACTAAGGAATCTCAATATTCTGGAAAAAACCACCAGGTCTCTGATGCTCGTACTTTACATGCTGACAATTCAAACATCGAGCCACATATGCAACAATATCCTTCTTCATCCTCCTCCACCAATAATGCTGCCGCAAATCCTGATACATTTTAGCGGCACCGGGATGAATAGAGTACCGGGAACTATGGGCCTTCTCTAAAATCAACTCTCGATGTCCATCCACATTAGGCACACAAACTCGACCCTGCAGCCTCAAAACTCCAGCATCTCCAACTGTAACCTGCTTGGCACCTCCGTGCCGCACCGTGTCTCTAAGGACACACAAATGAGGATCATCATACTGCTAATCTCTGATACGCTCAAATAATGAGGAACGGGCGACTGTGCAAGCTAACACGCGGCTAAGCTCTGAAACATCCAACCTCACAAATTGATTGGCAAAAGCCTGAACATCCAAAGCAAGCGGCCTCTCACCAATCGGAATATACGCAAGACTGCCCATACTGGCTGACTTTCTACTCAAAGCATCGGCCACCACATTGGCCTTCCCCGGATGATATAAGATGGTGATATCATAGTCTTTCAATAGCTCCAACCACCTCCTCTACCTCCAATTTAGTTTCTTCTGATCCATGAACACATCACATGACACGCCATACAAATAGTGCCTCCAAATCTTCAGCGCGTGAACAATGGCTGCTAAATCTAAATCGTGAACTAGATAATTCTTCTCATGAATCTTCAACTGCCATGAAGCATAAGCAACGACCTTGCCATCCTGCATCAACACCAACACCGTACCAAGTCCAATACGAGATGCGTCACAATAAACTGTATATGGCCTTGAACCTGTGGGCAAAACCAACAATGGCACCGTAGTTAAAGCCGTCTTGAGCTTCTGAAAGCTCGCCTCACACTCGTTCGACCACCTGAACTGGGCACCCTTCTGGGTCAACCTGCTCATCGGGGCTGCAACAGATGAAAACCCCTCCACCAACCAACGGTAATAGCCTGCCAAACCCATGAA